CTTTTTACATATTACATCTGTCGATCTTCTCTATCTATTTTATTTTTCTTACTCAAAAATGGAAAAATTAGCTTCTCTTTTACAAAAGATCAGCATTGTTTACCACTTCCTTTTTTAGACAGTTACATGTTATGACATAATGTAATAAGAATACAACAATTATATATACAGCCTAACATATAGTGTAATAAAAAAATGAAGAAGGATTTAAGTTGGAGAATTATAGCAAATTAGAAATATATAGCAATTCCTAAAATTATATATATATAATTTTTACCTTTTTAGCACAGGTTAAAGTGTAGTTAGATTCTTAGTACAGGTTTAAAATGCTAGTGTCCTAAATGGTCACGAATAAGATATGCTCTCTAACACTTTTTTTTTTTTTTTCTTTTTGTATCCCTTTTTAGTTTAGTTTTGTTTAATGTTTTTTTCTTCTTTTACATCTCTACAAGAAAGTGTTATCAGATTGGTAATACTCTATTGTAGGGTAGTGGTTAGATGAGCCCCCAGATCCTCTTTTTTCTTTAGAAATTAGACAACTAATGTGGCAGATTGCTTGTAAGTATTCATAAAAGTAACTGTGAGATGTTGACTCAGTACATTAAGTTTAAAAATGTTTGTTAGTATATAAATAGAAATCTTAATAAAGAGTATTGACAAGACTGCCAAAGTGAAAAAAAAAAATATATAAATAAATTAGTACTTTTTTTATAAGATTTTAAAATTAAATTTAATTAATATTTAATAAAATAGAGACATAATCTTATTGTTAATATTAAAAAAATATTAATAAAAGTTATTAAAATTAATATTTAAAGAGTTTACTAAAAATTAATGAATTTTTTAAGTTAAAATTTTTTTAAATTTGTTTATTTATAACTTCTAAGTAATAAATTTTTTTATAATATTATTTAGTTTAACTAGCAAATTTAATTATTAAAACTTTTTTTAAATTTTTAAAATTTTTAAATTTTTTTTTAAATTAAACTTATAATTAAAGATTATATTTTAGTACTTTTAATTTTTAAATTATTAGAAAAACAAATCAAGTTGCTTATAAATTAAAATATATATAATTTTATAAAAATTAAAAATTTTAAAAATTTTATTTTTATTATGCTAAATTTTTTAAATTATAAAGAATAAATATATTATATTTATAACAGAGATTATAAAACAGATTAATTGTATAACTTTATTTATACTACTTTTGTTGTTTTATAATTAAAATTTTATTATTTCTTTTTAGAACATATAAAATTTAAAATTATTAATTTTTTTTTAAAAAATTTTATAATAAAATTTTAGAATAGATTAAAAATAAACTAAATTATTAAAAAATTTATATATATTAATATAAAAATTTTAATAGATAATTATACAAATAATAAAATTTTTTTTTAACTTAGAAAAGAAAAAATTTATTTTTAATAAAATTTTAACTAATTTAAAAACTATAAAAAAAAAAATTTTAGTAAGCCAATTTGTTTACTAAACAGTTTAAGAAATAATCTTTATTTTTAAATACTGTATTATAAGTATATTTTTAGTAATTTTTCAAACAAATTTGCTTAAAAATATCTACAGTTTAAAATATAATAATATAATAATTAGAAATAAAATTATGCTAGTATTTATATATAATAAATAATATTTAAAATTTATATAATAAAATGATGTTAATAAGACTACCAAAATTAAAAAAACACAAATATTATAGTTTTAAAAATAAAACTTTATATATATGCTAGTAATATAGTTTAAATTTTTTTTTACTATAATTCAAATATTAAGTTATTCAAGTTTATAAATATTTTTTATTACACTATATATTAATACTTTAACTAATTCTATTTTATCTGTTATGATTTATAAAGTATATTGCAAGTTTAAAACAAACTATATTAATTTAATATACTAAAACTATTTATTTAATTTTTATAGAAGTATGTACGCACCTACCTTCAATTGAAATAGACATTTAAACAAGGCATAAAACTTATTTGCAAATATAAATATATAGTATATAATGAACGACAAAGTGACTTATGATATCATATCTTTTTTTAACGCTAATTCAAATATATATCGATACCAATATGTTACTGTAATATTATGTATGTAGGTATAATTTAATTGGCAGTTAAATTTAATTATTATTCATACGTATTTAATTATTAATGTGAACATGACAAAGCATATTTCAACTATAAGGCCAAAAAGAGAAAGATATCAAGATAAAGAACGAATTTCAATTTACGTACGTATTAAAGACAATATGATTAATAAAATGGGAATAATGAAGCATTAACTTAATTCATTATACGTATATCTTTTTTTAATAACGAAATAATGCTTTGTTTTAAAAGATCCTATCAAATCAAAGTGTTGATGTTAAAAAAGTTGCATAAATTTTTTCTTTTAAATTTCAAACATATAAAAAAAATTCTACAATGATTTAAAGAAATGTACATTATAACAATTTAACCAAAATCATACAGAGAATACATAAAAGTTGGAAGAATGAATCTTGGAAGATTAGAAAGTTTGACTTAAAAGAATGAATAAAATGCAGTACACTTACAATGCAACAAAACGCATACAATAGTCATTAACGTTCGAAAGACTAAATGAGGACATATTATTAACCATTTTTATAATATTATTGTTTATAATCTGATCGCGGGAAGTTATGAATTACTATATAATAAATCACATTTAAAATCGCATCGCATTATAAAGGAAATATGTTCTCTGTCGATAAAAAACAGCTGATTAAACTGATTTAGTAAAATTACTTATTCTTTCGTTGTTTAATGATGCAAAGTTATTGGACGTTCATGCATTTATGCATAAATGTGCGATAAAAGTTTTAGATGGTTTTTTTTTTAAAAAAAATAAATCATTTAGATTTACCGAATAAAAAATCGTAAGCACATACATAACAAATTAAAAATGGATCGTTCACTTCAACATAAAAATTACAGTAAAAGTCTGAATTTGTAAAGATTTATGTTTTGTAAAAAAAAAAAACAATATAATGTCCGATGTATGCATATAATTTCGAAGACATATGCTGTATAATTTCTATGTGTAATTAAATATGTATTTTTTTGCTTTCAAACATTTGAATCTTTTTTTAGTTATTTACAAAGATTCTTTTTAACGATAAAAAAAATGTTTGTTACTATCTTTAGATTTTGTGTTCAACTCGTACAAATGTGAGATTCGTTCGCATTTACAACTAAGGGAACGGAACAATACCAAAATCAATTTTTATCTTTTTTTTTTTTTTTATTTCGAATAATCTCGAAAGAATAAAGTTTGAAACGTCTTTGTATAAAAAAAATAAATTGGCGTTCTATTATCTATTTCGAACATTTAATCAGAATAATCCGAATAGAATCTTACTCAGGACATGGAACGCGTTTTAAATCCATTCTCTAAAAACAGAACTGTGAAACGGCACTAGATTCAAAGAAATTCCTATCTGCATATCGCTGCGATGCACTCAAAAAAAATAAAAAAAAAAATTTGAAATTGTAAATACGAACTTTGGCAGCGAGACGTGTGTGGGTAAAAGTTGAAAAAATTTTGAGTGTGACACTACATTATGTTGTATCAACATTAAAGTTAAGAGTTCATTGGAGTTCGACATATGTAATAACTGATCTGCGATGATAAACTAGAATACAACCTTTTTTCGTACTGTACATATGTACATATCAGATGTGTTTTTTAGAAATTCCAATAAGTATTGATTAGATAATTTAGGATTACCATTACCGATTACCACATAAATTACAAATAGAGCATTAATCTACTTTAACAATTTTTAAGAAATCAAGAAGGTTTGTTTAAAAAGATCGTGCATAAAAATATTTATGTTGGATAAAATAATTACGTATGCTGTGTTATTCTAAACATTCTAAACATTCTAAACAAATATTGAAAAATTGGTTTCCCTTGGTTGAATCTGATATTTGAATATGGTACTAAAAAATTATCCTTCAAGTACGAATTACAGCAACTTGTAAAATCATCTGCTTAGCATATATGTATGTATGTAATGAGCGGACAAATTTTAATAGGTTAATCAAAATTTTATGTTTTTTTTTTATATTTATTTATTTATTTTATTTTAACACAAAAACATGACACAATCCATGTATTGTGAGATAATGTTATCATAAAAATCAATAAAGTATCTTATCAGTTTAAAAGTGATGATTATGAGAGTAATCTATGATGATACTAATGAATAACGGTGTACAAAAAATTGTAAAAAAAAAATTGTTTTTTTTCGTAATTCGTATAGAATAATAATTCTCATGGATAATTCTCATGGAATAGTAATTCTAGTGGAATAATAATTCTCATGGAATAATATAAAATAGTGTATAGAAAAAAAAACAAAAAAAAAGACTATTAAAGGTGTTGTCAATGAGTTGTGAAGAGTAAAAGAGTGAATAAAGTGAATAAAAAATTAGAAGGGTAAAAAAAAAAATCTTCTATAGTATAATATTCGTAATGAGTCTAAAAAAAAAAACATTAGATAAAATTAAGAATAACTAAAATAATTCGAAAAAGATAAAGCTCTATTAAAATTGTGTACTTTAATACAAAGGTTATTTAATACTTTTCAGAAACATTCAAAATCATCAAAGTGGAATGTTTCGAGCAAAGAGTAAATATATAATACAAAAAATATAAAGAATGGAATGCATGAAGCATAAAAGGGTGTTACAAAAAAAAATCATGAATTAATATTACACTCCAGGTGCTTGTTACCTTTTTTTTTTACAACCCAGAACAACTCGGATAAGAAAAAAAACCCCCCAGCCCATAAAACAAGTTCATTTACAAAGAGAAAAAAAAAAAAACTGTACAATTTTGTTCTACAAAAAAACCAATTTCTTTTTCTATGAATCAAAAAAAAAATCAATTTTTTTTTGATAGTTAAAGAAATGAATATCTTATTGACAATGGGCCGAATAAAGTTATCTTGTGAATGGCATTGTGACTGAGCGCTTGTAACGATAAGTTGAATATAGTTTGCTGAAAGGACTTAGTGTCTATAATAAATAAAAGGTTAAATATAAGGTGAATCATTTATCATTTACCATATACACATCAAATATAAAATAAAAACATACCGCAACTCTACCCGAAAATTCATCATTTTCCTTTAAATGTTCATATCTTGATTTACGTTCTTGAAGTTCCTTAAGAGCACAGTCCATTTGATCATGCAAGTCGACAAGCGACGGGTGATCTTTATGATCTGGAGCGGTAGCCCTTAATAAAGTCTATAGGAAATACAAAGTCAAAATCGATCATATAACAAATGTAAAAAGAAAAATATTAATTAAAAAAAAATAACAAATATATACCATAACTAAAAGAGGATATTTGCATAATCTTTGGAATGGTTTTGTGAGCAAGCTTTCCAAAGTTAGGTATCTTCCTGGTAATAGATTTGATTCCAAAGACTTTACCAGTTGACCTAATTTATTGTTCTTTTTGCGAGCATTTGCTATTTCAGATATTGCCATCTTATAATGAACAAGATATGGTTCGTAAATTTGGAATTGTTTGGATAAGTCACGGAGGATATGTGATATTGATGGTACGACGGGGTACATTATTGCTTGCGTGCAGCGAAGTTGCTATCATAAAAAATAAACGAATATTATTGTATTAATTAAATAAATTAAATAAATACATACATAAAAATATGAACATAAGAAGATACCAACCAGAGAGGCGTTGAGATGTAGTAATAGGATATCGGGCAATATTGAGAAAGTTTGTTCAAGACTAGAAGGTAAACGAATGCCAGAATCTTGGAACTTATTTACGTAATGCTAATAGAAGATCACATGATCAAATTAATTAATTTTTCAAATATAGAAAGTAAACCCGAATATCAATCGATATAATCAATATAATCAATATATAATAATATATAATATAATACTATATAATAAAATATAATAAAATATAATAAAATATAATACTATATAATAAAATATAATACTATATAATAATATATAATGAATATAATGAATATAATCAATATACAGTAACAAATCGTACATCAGTTAAATATTTCATATCTTCGACAAAAGCCTTTTCCGTACGAATAATTTCAAACATTATTTCTTGTCGATGAATTTCGGCTTGTGTCAATTCAGCTTTAATATTTGGGTCAACTTGTTCTTTCCATAATGGAGGAGCAGGAGTTGGAGCTAAAGGTGTAACAATAGGTGTAGAAGAAACATTTGGGACAGAAGAATTCCAACTACGTTTCATCGGTGATTTTAAAAAGCCGCTACTACTCCTTATAATTCTTGGAATTTTACGTTTTTCATAAGTTGATGCGCAATATATAGATCTTTTTTCGTCCATAAGACTATCAGTTTCATCGTTATCAGTCACCGCCTTTTCAGAGATTTGGGGAACATATGTTCCAACTGCTCGATTAAAGGCTACCAGTAGTCCGTTAAATAACATATTCTTATCGAGTTTAAAAGTCTTGAAAAAAAAAGAACGAACGAATATTATTTCTTCAAGAATTTTTGAACCTTTTTTTTTTTTTTAAAAAAAGGAAATATATATATATATATATATATATATGTGAAAAAAAGATGTAGGACGTAGGACGAAAAAAAAATTTTTAAGACGACAGAGGGGGAGTTGAGGATTTATATTTATTCACAAACGCCCAGGTATGAAATTTTTTATTTATTTATTTTAAAGCGATGTGAACGTGATGATGCATATAAAAATAAATGCGACCATACATTGATGAGCAGAAAACCTTGCACGCGACTTTTAATAGGAAGGGGGGAATAGGTAATAACTCTGCAATACATAATGGATTTTAGACTGGCGCATCTTTGAAAAACAAATCGTTCAACAAAAAAAATCATAAACATACGTACACAAATCAAAAGCAAGAAAATATTTGTTACTACACTGAATTAAGAAATTCCGCATATATAGAATATATATGTACATATATATATATATATATGTATATAAAACAATATAAATTATCGATATGTAAAATATGACATATCAGTATGGTTTCACAAACATAAATATTATGTGATCGAACAATGGAAAATACATAAAGAAAAATATCCTAAAATGACTAATAATTTAACTAATATGTGATTACATCATTTTCTTACATATAATAGTTTTAACTGACGGTTTCACATACATTCCCGATGGTTCCACATTATAATAAGATAGCAATAGTGACTACGTATCACATAATTTAGTACGTAGTTTCAAGTTATGAATCTAAAATAAATGTTAATGCTAAAATTTGATACTAAACTTTTTTTTTTAATAATTAAAAAAAAAAATATTATTACTAATACGTATTAGTTATAATTTGTAAGAATTGGTAAGAATGTTAAAGACCTTGTAATTATAAATTTTATTTGTTTTTAATTAACTGTTAAATAGTGCCAAACAATGTTTGGAAGTTCTTTTTTTTTTTATTATACAGCATAAAATTTACTTATAATTTCTTATTAACCTAACCCTAAAGTTTAACTCTAACTTTAAACTAATGCAACTCAAAAAAATCAATCAATGATGTTTATTTTTTTAACATATTATACATGATGTACGTTCATTAGTTAACCTGTTTTTTTTATAATAGTCCAATTTTTTTTTTACATTCAAGTCTTGATTCGTGAGTCCTATATACTCACGCGTAGAATAGTTGATCAGACTCTTTACTCTTTAGTTGTTAGATTTATACTTGAATTATTAAATACTATATCAGATATCCTAACCCTACTCCTAAACACGCTAACATGAAGCCCTAACTTAACTATCTGTAGATACTATATAATATATTATTATACATATATGTATATCATACTCTTGTCTTTTTTTTAAAATCCTACATATCAGGTACTTTTTTTGTCGTTCGTAGACTTCAGATAAAGAAATACACTAATAGTTCTACGTATAGTCTTGATACCATATGAAACTTGATTAAGAAAACCGAACTCCGACTAAAAACAAATAGACTATCGTTCAATTTAATTGATTAACATCTTAATATAACAAATAAACTATACCAGTTTAAATATAGTAAATCATGAAGGACTTGTATGAATCTAATATATCAAATCAAATAAAGTCAAATAAAATTTATGCTTAGAAAACAATTATCAATTATTATTATTATTATCAATGATTATAAATAACTGATGAATGGATTAATTTTTGAATGAATTTTTTGAATAAATCAAATCGGTATTAAACTTGATATTATTATCGTTATGACTTGCATTAGATAAAACGTTAATCATGATTGGTACCTTTCATCATCCGATTAAACAGATCAAAAACGATTAAAGCTCCTTTTTAACAAGATCTGAACATACTAATATATGTATATATTAATAAATTAATAATTGCAAATACTTTTAAAAGAATAAACTCTTAATTTAATGATGGGACTAGAGGTAAAATGTCATTTACCGTGATCAAAATAAATTATTAAATGTGACAATAAGTATCACCATTTTTTAACCCCGTAGTCCCATCACTGCTCTTAATAGTGCCATGATCTTTTAACTATTAACCATACAAAGTCTAGAGTTCTTTAAAGACCTTACCCTAAATCAGATACCTAGATTTTTATTATCGTGCGTATGTACGTACGTATTTATTTCTTTTACTTATTGAGAAGTGATCCACATTCAGATCATCGTTAATATCCTGCATGACCCGTAAACTTTTTAATCCGCAGATTGACCTTTAATTATATAAAAATTCCCACGATACTTCTTATTCTTCAGGTATTCTAGTATTCTTCAAGTAATATTCTTCATGTATATTCTTCAAATATTCTAGATTTTCTTTAAACATCTAAGGAAACAACGGACTTGATTGGTACCAATGTATGTAATTATGTGAATTATGTGAATTATGTGAATTATGTGAAATATTTGGCATAGTTTTTAACGTTAACTGTTAATACATATGTACGTACGTTTTTACCTTTTTTTTAAGTCCCTTGTCGGTCACACACGTACACATGTAACCGAACTTATCAGACCCAGTTACGATATAATGATACCTGTAACGGTAATAGTTTTGTCACGACACAATTTAACATGTATATTGTCGGTCATTGAAAAACTCAAATTGATATACGTATAAAAATTGATTGGTTATTGATTTACTTTTTTGAACTTTGTAATTCAAATAGTCAAATAGCGATAGTTTTTATCATTGCAATAGTGTCAAGTATATTCGATACATTCGATAAAAAACCATTTTCACGTGCATTTCTAAATTTCATTGAATAATTAATTGATATAATAGGTAAAAAAAAATTTTTTTCTCGGAGATTTTATCATCACAAACTTGCAATTGAAGTTTCACAAAATGTCAATTTTCTCTTGAACCATTGTTAACGATGTCCTAATTCTTACTTAGGCAGCGCCTAATAAACAAAATATCTGTATTAACCGCCTTATTTATCAAATAGATCTATCAATGTAACATTGAGAATCTTGTGACGCTTTATTGAAACCTGGTAATTCAATTGTTTAATGTATTCTTGAAACTTGGCGCTTCGAACTTATCAGAAATTGGTAAAAAGCTTCTTTTTGTGAAATCTATCCACTAAGATTTACATCCAATTCATCCTTGACTGCAGATGTCACTATCTTGATCAATTTACTTTATTCACTTATATTCAATTATATTCCATTATATTCCATTACATTCAATTATTTATATTCAACTATATTCAATTATTTATATTCAATTATATTCAACTATATTCATTTATATTCAATTGTTTTACGTGATATGACTGCAGTTTGAGTATGTATAAAGGAATAACGTATGTACGTACTATATAATTAATAACGTGCGTACGTACTATATAATTAATAACGTACGTACGTACGTACTATATAATTAATAATGTACGCACTATATAATTAAGTTCGTTCTTAAATGTATTTTCTTTGTGAACCAATAAAATGTCTTCTTACGAATCCTAATTTGACCTCCGACTTTTTTGTCTTAAAGTTCTACCTCTTTATTTGTTCTGTAAAAATGATTTAAATTATCAAATGTGTCAAAGTATCAATTTGGTTAAATCATGTCCAGCGCTAAACTGCATTAGTCCCCTAATACCCTTAAATAAGTTTTAGTTAATAAGCAATTCATTCATTCTTTCAATTTATTCTAACTGAATTGAGTTAATGGCTTGAGTGATCGCCCATTGTAATTCAATTTCCCCGAATGCCAATCAACGTATGTACGTATGTGTGTACTTACATATATGTACTAGATCTATAATCATTTTCCCTTTTTGTAATATTAACGTACGTTTAAATGATGCCAATTAAAGAAATTTTGAAAAAAAAGTGAAAACGAGAGTTCAAATTTATTCTTACGCTAATAATTTAAAAAAAAAAAATCTGAATTGCAATTTTACATATTCATGAATTTAAAAAAAATATATTTCCTAATAATAAAAAACCTAATAATAATTTTTTATTCCAATTGTATAATATATAATGTATACATATTGTGGTTATCTAACCCATCGCTCATCTTACACTATTACGTTCTTACGTTCTTGCATGTATTCTTATATTCCTAATCTGGGTTATTTTTACAACCGTTTCATTAACGGGTAATTTCGTCGACATCATACAACGTGAAAATTTAGCTTGTTATAACTCGTAGATATTTATTTTAATACTAGATGAAACCCGCAATGTAAATTAGTAAAATTCACTATGCAGATCACGTTAGGGTGAAATCCGCGTTTAACTATTTTTTTTATTATGCAAAAGCGGATTTCACTCTCATGAGATCTACGTAGTGGATTTTATTAATCCACGGCGCGGGTTTCACCTTCGAAAAAATTCTTTAAGTTCGTTTATGTTAGGATTAGTGCCTAGATTAGAATTAGAATTTAAATAATTATATAGTAAAATCATTTAAGAAAGACTTTTGTTAATGGTTTCTTATAAAGGATGCTTGTTTTGAATTTATCTAATCATGTTACCATACACTAAATTATGGACTTTTATTGGTCAATAATCACGTGAAGCAGAATTTTTATAATAATAGTTTAAATTGTTAATCAGATTTTGCTCATATGCAAATTGCAAATTATTACAAATCAATCAATTAATTAATTAATTAAATATCAAATTATATTGTTGCAAAGTAGTTTAGTAGTATAATATAGTATATCATATTATTAATATTAGTTATAAACACCATTAATGAGGTGTGGTGACCTAGTAAAGTGGTCAAATTGTTAACCTTCAAGTGACAAGTCTAGAGTTTAAATTTCATAAATGACAAATTTTGAAAAATAGGTCTGTGTTATAATAACTGTCTCTGTCAATCAGTTGGATTAGTGTATCTATAATCTTTAGTTGTACTACCTCAAATAGAAGTTTAAGGCATTTATGCAAAGTGTAATATTACACTTATATAAAAGA